TCTTGTCTTGGCAGTTACTTTTTGACTTCTATTGGAGTTCCTTACATCTGAGCAGTCGTTAGCCCGGCGTTGGAGGCTGGCATGTTTCAATGCTGGCTAGGGATCCCACAGGCATTGGCCCCAAGCAAGACCTATCAGGAAGGGACGCCATTGTACATTATCTTTCGTCAATTAACCTCCATTATCGATACGATATTATCTAAAGAAGCTGTACATTCACTTGTTTGATATTACCAAAACACTCTCCGGAGATATGTTACCCAGATCGTATGAAGGACAATGGGCCCGTCCATCATGTTTAGTCCAGCTTCAAAACCCACTTGCCCTTCAGCTACAAGAAAGTCAGCAAGCAGTCACACGAACAAGTTTAAGAATCACTTACTTGACCACCGTGCATAGTCTGCACTAATTCCTCCAAGTCGTCGATTTTGCCCACGTGGACGTTGGGAACGACTACACGTCGTCTGACAAACTCCAATGCCTCAAGAATATCGGCACGCGATCCAACAGAGGAGCTCAAGATCTTCCAACCCTTCCCGATAAGCCAGATGGGATTAAAATTTACTTTCGCCTCCCAAGGCAGAATGCCAACACACATCAGCGTCCCGAATGGCGCCAGCAACTCAAAGGCATCCTGGTAAGCAGCAGTTGCCGTAGCTGCGACCACTACTGCCTTTGCGCCATAGCCTCCGGTTGCTTTTCTGACTTTCTCGGCTAGAGTTCCAGGCTCGGTAACATCGATGTAGACCTCGGCTCCCTGGTCTTTACAGATTTCACCCTTCTCCGGGCCAGCATCGACGCCAATGACGCGGTAGCCCATTGCACGGGCATACGCGACGCCCAGGGCGCCTACACCTCCTCCGGCTCCCGAGATGGCGAACCATGAGCCCGGCGTTACATGGCAATTCTTGATTGCCTTATAAGCCGTTACGCCCGCACAAAGGATGGGCGCAACCTCCTCGTCAGGCACCTCGTCAAACTGCGCAGGTAGCCTTGCCAGGTACCGCAGCGGCGCAAGCGTATACTGTGCAAACGTACCGTCGTACGCTCTACCAGAGTGGAGAGTCTTTTCACAGCGCGTCTCACCCTCGTTGACGAGGTCTACGCAGGCCTCGCAATTGCCGCACGTGTCGCGGGTCCAGGCGACACCCACCCGCTGTCCAACTTGGACTGATTGGTCGAGGGCCGCAATGTTAGAACCCAGGGCGGCGATGCGACCGACTCCTTCGTGGCCAAGGATCTTCCTATCGAGGGGTCCGAAATGGCCCATGGCCATACCGAGATCGGAACCACAGAGACCCGTCACTGATAGGCGGATAAGGACTTCGTTCGGTCCTGGAACTGGGCGCGGTTCATCCCGCACCGCAAACGTGGGCTTCTCATCTGAGCCTTGAGGCGACTACGAATCGTAAGTCTCTGCGGAGTTCGATGGTGTGAAGAAGACAAGACGAGGGGAACAGTCTGAATGGTGCATGTGAGGTAGCTTACAGTCAAGACAGCAGCTCGGTGTGTCTCCATAATTGTGCTTCGTCGAATAAGATAAGAATAAGGTAAGTATACACAGGGCTGTAGTTTAAAGAATGGCGTGTGAAGTTGAAGTTGAGACCAACCGAACTAGTGCTGCTCGAGGAAGATCTATGATGTAGGTCGAGATTTCCCCGCTACCTCCAAGATGGTGTGTAGTGGGATAGGACTTCAGACGGGTCGGAAACACTTTTCCGCATATCGTCGGTTCGAAGGTTCCCCTCATTCGAAATTTGACCTCGGTGTTATTCAGCCATAATGATAACTAACTATCTCAGGTATCTGTGGCCCGGTGGGTTGGGAGTTTCGTGCGACGTCATCGTGCTTCGATGCATGTATCTGTGCGGAATCAGAAAAGAAAAAACATTGACTTCAGCCGAAATTCTGCCAAAGGTCCCCACCGGAGTTAGTTTTTGGCTGTATGACTACATGTATGGAACAGTCAGTATTATGATTACTTGAGCATGCCTTAAATCTATCATAGCAGCCCTTGTTCCTGGGCCTCTTTTGGTCAAGACTCGTATGACAGGCAACGCACTTGATGAACGATTACCCTGGAAGCCTCGTGAAGCAGCGTGCTTGGATGCTTATCCCTAGTTGCGACTTTGCCGCAGAGTCCTGATTCGCTCCCCCAAAGCAAGTTCATCCGCTTGTATCCGCTGCAACTGATCCAACGTCTGCCTCCTGTCCCTCAAGAGCCGCTCTTCATGTAGCAGGTGCTCCAGCTCAGCCATATCTGCAATAAGGGGTTCCGGCGAGGAATTGATACGATCTCCAATTATGGGCGGTGACATCCGACTTGTTGCAGATGATAGGGGCGACTTTGGGAGCGAAATCGTGGACACGACCTCCGGTGATACCGTGTCCTGCTCAACTGAAGGCGTGACCTCGAGGCTTTCGTGAATTTTTGGCTCAGGCGATGCGCACGGAGTTCCGTCCAGCTCGGCCATTATCTGATTCTGTTGATTTGAAAATATTACGGGGTTTTTCTTGTCGGCTTCCAATGGTGCCGTATATGAATCCAACTCATATCTGTTGGATTTGTCCCCGCCGCCGAGCTCTGGTGTGATATTATCCTCCTTACCAACATTCTGGCTGGCCTTGTTCCTCTTTCGCCACCAAAAGAGTAGGATTACAGCCAGCATTGCCGCTAGGGCAGCTCCAGCACCAATTCCAGCCTTCACTCCCGTCGATAACCGATCCGAGGAGGAGTCACTATTGTCACCATCAATCGTAGACGTAGATTCGGCGGTAGGAGTAGATTCGGGTATAGAGGTTGTTGATTGCGTCGTTGACGTGATGGCTTGTGATGCGGTCGAGCCAGACTCTGTCCATGATGTGGATGTCTCGATACTCACGGTTGCATACGTGCCACCGACATCGTAAGTGGCGGATTGAGTAATGGTGATGATACTGGGTTGTGTTTCTGTCAAGGTCGCTGTAGAAATCACATCCGTCTGGAAAGTATTGAGCCAGCCATTGGCGACGCAGTAGGCCGCAAAGGGGGGCCACACATCTTGAACTTAGCGTCAATACAGCGCTTCAGAGTCGAAGATAGTGAAAGACAGAGAAGCTTTCTCATTGTGAGATCAAGAGAAGCATACCTTGGATTGTTTTTTCTTGGTACCTGCAAAATCTTTTTATGCAAGCGGCCCATTGGGCACGAAAGAGATCGCTCGTTCCAAGACGGCAAGCACAATCAGGTTTCCTCAATATGTGACAGTTTTCCGTAGGGCTTTCACCCAGACAATCCTGAGCACATGCAGGAATATCGTCTATCTCTTGAGCGTATGCGAAGCGAATTACTGCCGCGAGGACAACTGCCATGGCCCTCATCGCGACCGAGCAGCGAGAGCCTGCTCGGGGTGTAGATAGAACGCACAGAAAACAATGGCGAAGCTGACAGCTGAACTGAAGGGTTGTTGTTGGAGGAATGGTGTCTGGGAAACCCAATGGGTCCTACTCTCGGGGATACATGTATGTGCCTCAATGACAGCCAAGCGTGGCCTGCGGCAGGAAAGCGTCACCAGAAAAGACAAGACAGCCGACGGGCCAAGAAGAATGCTCGAATCTGCAAGGTTCTCGACAAATCATGAGAATTTTCTGCCAGATGTGATCGGGCCTTCGTTTAGCTTGTTGGTTGGGTCTAATTTGGGGCCTCGCCTGTCTGGACTCCGATCCCAATGGTTCCAACAGCTCGTTGTCCGGCTACTCACATGTACTGCGAATCAAGGACCCATTATTACAGGGAGAAGATCGAATCACTACGTTCAACATTGCCTGGTGCCAAGTGCAGCTTCTAGCTGCGCCCTAGTTGTGCAGAGCCCAGCGTCCTCGCCTGCGTTGGTAATGAAATTGCGCTGGGCCGAGCAGATGAAATGAAACCTCCCAAACTCAGCTGGATCAAAAGCAACTGAACTTTTCTCAATGCTTTACCTGCATGTGACCTCAGCTTAACAGCTTGCAATCCAGTTTCAGCCGGCAAGGAACATACTAATGAGCAGTTGGTTCGAATACGTTCACTATCGCATCATTGTCAATTGGTCAGGGGGTTGCCGAAGAGTTTTTAATAGTGAGTAGCTACTTCGCGGACGAATGTGAGAGAGACTTGGCCTCTACTAACCGGAAGCCACGTCACACTACATTGCCTAGGGCAGCTTCTTCTCAGACCGCACTCCACCCCAAGTCAATTTGCATTTGATCTTCACTCAAGCGAGTTCCCATGTTCAAAATGCACCCATAAGAGCAATGAGCCAATGAAATGCAGCGCATCTGTTATTGCTCAAGTGCACATGGGCCCATTAGCTGTGATTATGTAGACTTTTCCTCTCCGAAGCTCAACCAACGTTGCGTTCCTTCTCTCGATCAGCAGATTCGTAACGATAAATTCGGCCGTATTGCGGATGATTCAATAGAGATATGTGTTAACGTTCCTTATACACCGATATCCCACAGCTTACGATCAACTTCATAAGATCTTGCCTACGAGACAGAGTCGCCTCGAGGGCAGTCACACGAGTTTTCTCGGTTTCTCGGTGATACATACTCCTTTCAATAAATCCAAGACAACTACATGCTTTGACTTTTTCAACTTCATGTACAGTCCGGTGTTGTACTACGACTTCAAGGCGACTGGCCGCAGGCTTGTGCGAAGCATGGGAAGGAAGGGTGTGCCCCTATTCTCCAGCAAAAAACATTGTGTCACGGGGAAAACGAATTGTTTGCTGCACGCGATCAACGGCATCATGTTCGCAACGTGTTGGCACTAATCCTATGAACAGTTCTTCAGTACTGTCTTCAGAGAGGCTCATTTGAATTGCGTCCTGAAACAGCGAAGCCAAAGCCTACTAAGGCTATCTCAAATCCAGCAATACGTAGGTAGTCAAGGAGCCCAAGATTTGTTGAAAGTATTTACAAGATAAGGTTTCACGCCAAAACTACATCATAAAGAGATTCTCTATCCAGAGGCTCAATTCTCACTTAGGTGGCAAAGTAGGTGCGGCGGTCGTTGCCGCGACAATCGCAGCCTTTCTCTGCCGCCTCTTCTTTCTGCAGCTCCTTACGCAGCAAAACACGCATGAGCAGACCAATACGAACAGAATTACAGGACATCCGACCACTAGGAACATGAAAAGACTATCTTTTGTAAAGTCAGACCCACTCTCAAGTCTCGGCGGTTTGTAGTCATAAACTCCATCCGGGATCGTTTGACCAATTGACCACGTCGGCACTACCATTAGGCTAGCCAATGTCGGTAACTTTGGCGTCAAGGTCGCAGTGTCAGATGCATCCCAAGTCACGGTCCAGGGTGTATGTATCATAAGCACTTGATCCGATTTCGCGTCCTCGGGGTTGGGAAGGGCTTCTGTCCTGGGGCCCCATGCGGCGCAGGCCCGCCCATTGACCCATGTGTAATTGAACCCACTCCAATTCTAGTCAGCGGTCAAGACATAGACACAACAAGCAACGGATGGGGTGATGAAGAAAATAGTGCAAACAAACCTATTGCAGCAGTAAGCTGATGTAGGGCCCTCGGTATGTGTACGGGCCATGCTATAATACGTCCAATCCTCGGGGCACACGCCCGGGCTAAAATTGAGCCGGCTTGTCCTCTCGACGCGATCCCATCCAGAGGGATAACATGATGACGGGGGAGCAGAGACAGAGACCTTTGACATGACGGTGTGGTATACTTCGCCGCTGGAGAACGAAGTAAGAGGTAGGTGCGGCATTTCTGTCATAATCCATTGGTTCGAACAGTCTGGCGGCTGCACGAAAGGCGTGGTTATGGCGAGTTTTTCAGTGGATGTGGCAAGAATGGATTTTGTGATGTTGGAAGACATGACTACTTCTGCAGCGCGCCGAAGACGCAAGTAAGTTGGAAGAAGTTTGGTTGGAAGTAACGAAGAGATTCCGGGTCTGGGAATGTGCTTGGGCTTTGTCTCTTATACACGATCAAGCCCTTCAGAGTTATGCGACAAGGAGGCAAAGCAAATATGAGCGAGGCCCTAATTGGGAAGAAAAGACATGGGCCTGGCCAAAGAGGGCAGGTTGGGGACTAGCGGGGCTTTGCATGTACACATTAATGTCGCACTGCACTAATTACGACCCCAATTCGACTCTTTTCAATACCATAAGATTTTATGACACGCTGACTTCGTGCGTTGGACTATGATTTCAGACGAGTGTCCATGAATCAAGCAGAAAATCTACAAGGCTAACTGAACTAGTAAGGGTGCCCGCAAAATGTCGAATAGACGGCTGTGAAGCCTCAAAACAAAGTAGAGTTGAAGTCCGGGTTTGGCACACTCTCCTCCAGGACTGTGCCGTTGCTGAAAACCGTCCCGTTCCTCAAAACCTCGACACGACCCGGATGAAGGCCAAGCGGCGGGTCGGCAATAGTCGTCCCATTTGCGAAAATGATGCCGTTGAATTGAGACACCAGGGGGCTCGGAGGCTTTCTCTGATTCTTCGGACTTGGAAGCAAAGGAGACCTTCTCTTGCTAATGTCGCAGTTTTCGCTGATTGTGTATAAGTTGAGACCAATCGCCAAAGTATACAACTCAGCACTCAATGCATCCCATCCAGGCTCATTCATGATCACCATGCCAATGTAATCGATCAAGATGACGTTGGGGAAGACTTTGTCTGAGATCTCATTCACGCCCTTCCAGTAGAGTGCTGGATTGGTAGGAAGAACGGCAATTGACTGGAGGCCGTAGGTAAACGTCGAAGTCAAGAAATGCGGTGTACTGAGCCACTGGGCGATGTAGAAGTTGCCCTCAGTCTTATCTGTCCACTTCTTTATTGCCCATTCCGCCATCTCTTTCGTGTCTTCTTTTCGGGCCACGCATCAGTCAAGTCGATATAATCGATGTTGTAGATGCCATCGTCAGCTGAAGTATGCTTGTTCTTATCGGAGATCTTAGACAGATGTTGGGTATTCAAAAAGATAAGCACGCAACCCTTGTTGTCATTCTTGTCCATCAAATCGCCAATCTTCGACGTTTGCAGACGACTGGCAAGTCCCGGGCACCGATTGTTGATCTTTTTGAGTTTGTCAAAGAACTTGTTCTTGATACCTTCATCCCAATAAATGGGTCCAAGGCTCGGCACATCGCGGACACCGACCAGATAGCGAAACTGCAAAAAGATAACCTCGCCGGGATTCTCATCCGTGAATCGATTAATCTCCTTGATGACGTCGTCAAAGTTCTCTCCCGTATTTCCAATCACGACTTCCGCAACCTCATCAGACACGTGCATCGTCCAGAAGTCGTAGTTGCCGCAACAGTTGACAGCCTGATGAACGCTGGAAACACGTAAGTCAAACCAGCGAGATCCGGCTCGCAGTTGATCGTATATGTTCAACATTTGAGTTTGTGTGTTGCCCTCACTTCCTCCCGACACGATGGCTTGTGTTATCTTGCTCATGCCCGCGTCGTGGGTGCCTGGCATCACCACATTGGCCACTGTCCGGTCACGGATCGTATCCTTGATAGAGTTCATCCAATTTCCCGGTCCGTGCGATAGTGAAGTGATGAACCCAAAGGAATCACTCCCAGTGATGACAAGAGTCACAGGTACCTCCTGGCCCGGCACCCTGTACTCGCGCTGACCCTTGCCCATCCCGCTCAGGTCGAAAACGATGCGCCTGGGGTAGGTATCGGGTATATGAGTTGTGGCACGTACGACAAACTTTTTGCCAGTGTTACCGATGTCATAGTACGCTTCTCCGTTGTCATCGACATTGTTGGCACCAATTCTCCCAGTGTAGTGCGCGACATTTTGACGCGCCTTGCCTGGAGGAATATCGCCCCAGTTGAACTCGTCCATCTGGTAGCTGTGTGTTGAAGTGAGCTTGAAAGGGTGCGGCGTGAGATTGACGATGGTGATGTATTGCCTGCCCGTCGCTGCTGCATTCTCAGGGTCCATCAACAACCAGCGCATATACTCGCCATTCCGATCAAGAGGCAGTTCGCTGTAGGTCCTTTCGCTCGCTTGGCAGGTATCATTGGGGTCGATTGGCGGTTCCGTCTCTTCGTCGCCGCTTGGCTTGCAAACCTCAGGACACCAGGTACGAGAGCAGGCAAACTCGCACAGCTTCTCATCATTGTAATCCCCAACAGGTTTCCCAGTTGCACCGGGTACCTGCGCTGGTGGCTCTATCAGGCCTCCCTCTGTTGTACATCGGCAAACGTGCAGAGGACAGAAGCCGAAGTTGCAGGCGTAGGAACAAAGTCCCTCGAAGCGTTCATACCCTGCTCGAGAGGTGCCTGCCCTACAGGCAGGTGGAAGAAATTCGGAGACAGTCGGTACGATAGTCGTCTGAGGAGTCTCAGAACAAAACTCTTCTGGACAGAATCCCAGGTTACAGGCGTTCGAGCAGAGTCCGGAGTAATTTTCGCTTTTCCCCTTGGCGGGGAATCCGTCCTTCTCGAGCGCTGGCGGCTTTGTGTTGGGCACTCCCACAGCCTGGCACAAGCAAGACGACACGGGGCAATAGTTGTACTTGCAATTAAACTCGCACAGCTCTTCAAAGCCCTTGGCTCCAGTTCCCTTTGTACAGCCTTGGTCTTGTCTCGAGTTTGGCATCGTCGCGGAGACGGAGCCGGCAACGACGGCACTTCCAACCCAAGGGTTCCAATTTGTACGCCCATTGTCGCAGCTCGCAGAGCTGAAGGCAGGCCCGTCTACTCTTGCTAGAAGTCTCCCAGGTCTGGAGAGCTGGACGTTCACATCGCCAGTCTCACTAAGACGGACCACGCTGCCATGATAGACGCCAACACCTCCATCGGGAATCGAAGACCATTTCGGGGTGAAGGTCTTGCCACCAACTTTGACTGTGACCTCAGCTGTCGATGCGAGTACTGCGGAGAAAAATATTTTGTCCAACATGATAAGCTGTGGAGGGAACTCGATTTGAAGCTGGCTTGCTGTATTGCCGACGGTGCCACCCTCAGAGCAGGCGCTGGATGGGCTTGTACGGTACCAGACAACGAGACTCTCTTGAGATACAGTGGCTTTGCCAGTCTTGTAGTAGTCAATCAAGAAAGGTAGAGCCTGACGCCAGCCATCGTGAGGTCTGTTGTTGGCATAGTTGTATGGCGCTTTTCCAACCGTGAACGCCTCCATAGCGTGGCCGTAAAGAGGACCAATGTGATGAGATTCGCCATAGTCGTTCCAAGAGATGATTTGGACGTATCTGGGATGTATGTTAGAACAATATAATTTTTGAATCACTGTCATACAGCGACTTACTCAGGCTGGTTGTAGATGACCTGAATCCACCTATCATGCCATATGTCGTCACCCCGCCACATCCAGTTCTTGTTGTACCCGGGCATATTGGTGTAGAACCACGGCGAAACAGGCATCATGTACGGCCTCTTGTCCAAGTACTGGAAGTACGAGGCATCGACATAAGTGTCCATATCTCGAGGACCACACGGTCAAGCAGCCCAGTTGAAGAGGCCATCCGCGACGTTGTTTCCGAGAGCCAGCGCTGGCTTTGCTCCTTCAGACGACCAGTCAGGAATGAAGAAGCAGCTGACTTGGCTTTTGATGTCGATCCAGTCTTTCGCATTGCCAGGGCCCTCGAAGGTAGAAACCAAAGGTCTTCCATCACTGTGCTTGAAGTACTCGGCTTTCGATGTATACTTCTTCAGATAGCTGATGACGGTCTCCTTCGGCCAAGGTCCTCTCCCTGCGTAGTCGAAAGAAAAAAGAAGCTTGAATCCTTCGTCTTTGGCGACATTGAAAGCGCGCTCAAGAGAAACCTCGTTCACGGACTCTCCATGGGCCATATTAAGGGCAAAGGCGTCAATATGAGCTTCTTTGGCGAGCCTAATGTCCGTACGCCATGTGCTTTCTGTGTACTCGGCCGTGTTTCCCACCTGGCAGAGTGTAAGTAGAAGTTCATCGGCCAAAGGATAGCAGTTCGTTCTGTGGACTGACCATGAAATGTGCGAAAACTGCAGCACTCTGGACACGGACTGCGCCAGCAACGGCTAAAAGAATGACGTTGAGTTTCATAACTTCAAGACACAGTGTAAAATGTCGGAATATTCAAAGAATGAATCCAGAAGAAAGGCTTGCTGGAGAATTGCATCAAGTGCGTGACGGCTGCAATAGCATTTATATCTCAATTTTGCTCCATTTCGACTACCAGACTTCCCTCACTCTCTCTTATCACTGAATGAAGAAATCTCTGAGAAAAGGACCCAGTCGCCTGTCAGAAACGAACACCATTCAGAATGCTCGTCTTCCGTGGGCCCAAACGGCCCGGACCCGGCTTCGACTCAACGAAGCTGAGGCACAGCACGATTAATTTCTCGCAACACCAGCAGCTGACCCATTATGCAATGCAGCTCTGAGGCACCGTATCGTCCATGAGAATGTGGTCAGAAAATATCTCATAGCCCTGTCATCGGAACATGGTATCCAGAGCCATAAGGGCTTTAGACAACTCTGCTAGCCTGCCGAGAAATGTTGGCTCCGATAAAGATATTGAACAACTCTCGACTTTCAAATTACACTGACTGCACAACTCCAAAAACTCATTCGCTTTTGGAGACTTGAAGTAATCTGAAGTGGTGAACTTTCTCGGCTCCCACTGGGGAACTCATCGTCAGTCGACATCCGTTTGAACGTCTTTCCGAACAGGCGGGGATCTCAGACAACGCCAACGATCAACGCCAAGCCTAATTTATGCTATTGCGGGCCGTCGCAAGCGAGGAGAAGGCGTTTTTCCTAATGCGGTATGTCTTGGCTGGACGCCGCCTGTCGATATGCAGTTGGAACGTTGGATCCTAAATGCGGAGGTCTCCGAGGGCTTGGCTCTTGCCTATTTCATTAATCCCTTGAGGTAAATTTCTCGCGAGCAAATAGAAATTCACATGTGCTTAAGATTTCAGGCGGCAATGTAACATCTCAGTTGAGTGTTCTGAGCTAGACTCATCTTTAGCGGATGGTGCCCTTATCGACGCCCTCTTACCGCATGGGCCCTTGCAGTAGGAAAGTCTGGATGAAGAAAAGCTATCGGCCGAAAAGGCAAAGGCTATGCATATGACAGACTTTTGCTTTGGGGGCCGGTGCCTGCGAGCAAGGACTTCAATGACTCAGTGTTGAGGAGGGGCGGGTAGGTGATCCGGTTGTCTGTTGGTTGCAAATTAACATCATGGAATGTCATACGCAAAATTTTCGCTAGGCTCGGGACCATACAGCCGCAGAGATATTTTTGCACCTATCAAGACATGTTTGATAGCGGTGAAAGGTTGAATCATTTGGAGCCATATTTTCTGATCAGCAAATTCAACCAGATCATTGCGTAAAAAGTTCGCGGCAGTTGTCCCAGGAACGTCAGTCCGGGGAGTTCCGGTTTGACCCAATGCTGAGAAACACTCTCACTATATTCAGAGTGATCCCGCATACTTTATGAAATGAGTTTCAATACCATGATGCATTAATCTCTTGATGTCAAGTCATTCGTTCCTCGTGAGTGAAAATGTTATGGAGACATAAGCCCATTCATTGGCGTTGAATTATCGTCCAGGCTAGGTCTATCTTGGGATATCTCCCCTTCATACACTCCGATTCGGTCTGCATAAACTGAAGTCGAGACTCACAGTCGTGGGCATTATGTTTCTTGACTGGTCATCAAGACATACCAATTTCGTCTTGTAGGGCAATTGACAGCCACAATATCTAAGCTTCCACATCGTTGCCGTCGGCCATCATTCTAACAAGTGAAAGCCAATCCTACCCGTCCATCATTGTAGGCGTCGATAATGCTTTGAATTGTTGTGTAAGTGCCCATGACGGTCATGAACGATCCCAGAAATATCGTAAAGATGTGTAGGGCACAGAAAGACATCTTAACTTTACTAGAGGATCTATTCTCCCAGTCCATGTAGAGGCCCATGAATGCTGGGATAATCAGCTGTCATGTGGCACGAGTCGTCAGTGAACAGTCACATCGAGACTCGCCCTAAAGTCTAGTAGATCGGCTTGCACTTACACAAGTAGGCATGCAGCAAATAGAACCAATGAGCCCAACCAGATAGCTAAAGAACGGGACCGCTTCAGCAATGATAAACGCCAACGCGCTGATACCTATCGTTGAGCCACTGCAGATTGCTAATGTCAGTGTGACGAATGTCTGTCCTGCAAAAGCGATCGGAACTCACAGCCAAGTCACCCAATGAATGACGGTCTTGCTTTGTAGATGTATAGAGTTGCGCAGAATTCGTACGAGAAGCTAGTGTACGACTCGTCAGTAGTTACACTCACTGATAGGATGAAATTATTCTCCTACGGATTTGGCTGCAAGATGAACCCAAAGAGTCGTTGTCATAATGAAACCAGGAATCGAAACACCATACGCTATTTTTTTTAATGTCCCGCCAGCGGAGCCTAGAGATGGACTCGCCACGTATTTTCCACAATACCTGTACGATTGATTCGTCAGTCAAGTTCTCTATTGATTCGCAACACAGTTGAACTCCCCCAGCTATTTGATTCACTTACATGTAGACGACCGTACCAAATGCGACATAACATGAGGCTAGAAACACTTGAGACGAGAACAGAGATTTGGTGAAAGAACGTGGGCTTCTCATCTCCGCAATCACGGGTATGAAGGTTGGTGTAGATCCATAACCAGCTTCACGGCTATTAGTCTCTCATCCCAGATGTCAACTCAATGCATCACTGTAGCACAACTTACTAAACAGATTGACGGCAGCGACAACTCCTGGGACGAATCCAGGTACTCGTACGGCGTGTACTTCCATGTCGTATGGTCCGGTTTGTGGCGCTGCCGCAGGCCGATCGACTTGGGTCACACCAACCCTTTTGTGCGGAATGTTGTCAGCAATTCTATCAAGGCCCAAGTCGGTGAATATTGAGAAGAGTTGATAGACTCACACGACAATGAAGACAGCCGTAAAAATGGAAGCAAATCCTATCCAAGCTAGGATCGACAATCTCCCCAAAGTGGGAATGCTAGACACGATTGCGGTGCATGTGGCCGCGACGAGGGTCCACGCAATGTTGCAGACGTGGCGGTTCGAAAGTGTCTTGAACCCTTCCGCCAAACCAATGAAGCCAGATCCGGATGCGAGGCTTTTTTGAGTGTCAGCATTATAGGGAAACAATCGGTTGCTCATCAGACTTTCTCGTGTCTTACATCCAAGTCAGCAGGAAGAGACCACCAGCAATTTCTCGGGCAATAGGTCCGCCCATCAGCGCTGCAGCATCAGCAATGCTGTGAACTCCAGCGTATCTCATCCTAAAGACGTACATGATGTACGCATAGTCTTCCGGCACGTACAATTAGTAAGATCATGCAAGGGACGGGAGTTGGGGACAATGTTGAAATGAAGGCGTACAAGTTGCCAGTGTTCCCCAACCCACGAGCAAAACAATTCCCGGGCCGTACCCAACTGAGCTGAAGGCAGATGGAATTGTCAATACACCAGTGGCAAAGCATAGCTTCATCAAAATGATGCCAGTGCGTTTCCTGAGATGATGCATAGTGTCAGTGATCTATGCCTTCGAAAGTGAAATTCCGACTCTGATCATAACATGACCTACCAACCTAAGGCCCTGTATTCCTCCTCATGGAAGACCTCACGGTTATCATCGATGTCAATGCACTCCGTTTTGGTGTTTCGTTCGGGGAATGCATCGCCGTTCGTCGCCGGCTTCATTTTCTCGGTTGAGCCCTCCAAAAATGTACTTGTGTACGGTGGCATCGTAGGTGATATTGCGTGACTATTGCCACTGGACTAATAAAGAAGGAGGAATATCACAGCACCAGAAATCCTGAGTCGAGATAAATAATCTTTTGCGTGATCTAGCTGTTGCCAACCACGTTGTCGACTACATGGAAGGAATATTCAGAAACAAAATCTTTCAGCGAGGAAGCTCCAGCAACAGCATCTTATATCAAAGTTAGGAAACGCCAGATAATATCAGATAACTACCGAAGGGGAGCAACCTCGGAGAGTAAGGTAACATTTAAGATACAAGACTCTGTTGAGCCTGTAGGATTACTCGTTCAAGGTCCACTTCCATGCTCATGTCCGGTCGAGCGCTATCTGAATGACATACTGTCACTGCTGGGTGACAATCTCGACCGCCGTCAGCGGAGCGCGTTATCACAGGTTCCAGTATACAGACGGGGATGTCGCCGATCCTATCTGCGGGGGAATCACTTGGGTTCCCCATGGAGATAAAGCCCCCAACCCCAATCCCACTGTAGATAATGGTTGTGGGTAAGTGGGACTTCGCGAATAGCCGACGCTAGCGAATTCCCGATCATCCTGCTACGCTAATCTTGACATCAAGGAGAGACTTGGGGTTGGCATCATTTGTCACGGAATCATACTGATTGATCAACTATTTGACCAGACTGCCTTCGCGTTTGAGGCTAAGGTAAGTGCGATTGGCTATGGAAGATTATCACGGCCGGGGATCATAATGTCTCTTCGTTCTAATGAATGTCTGACTTGCTCGAACGAAAGTATGATGATGGATTCAATGTCGAACGTAGATGCATACGTCTTTAGTCTTGACTGACATCCCGAAATACAAATTCCACACCGCCGATGCTAACCAGACCTCCATCTACCGACGTTTGCGCTTCGTTGTCTACCATAGTCACCACCGCGGACGCTTTCGGCATGCTGCCATCATTCTCAGATTCAAATGTGCGTTTCCAAATTCCATGATGGGAATCGTAATCCTCTCGTCGCGCAGCAAATTCTGTCGCCGACGCCTTGCGGATGGCAAGATATATGACCCCAACTTTGCCAATGAAAGTCATTCCGTCTTTGCTCTGAAGTATCCAAGAAGGCGTATCATTCGGGCCACGTTTCGTAACGTCTCTCCAGACTTCTTCGTAGTCAGTTGGAACACCGTTCTTATGAGGACAAGGCGTGGTGCCGATTTCGAGGTCATCTCCATTGGGTAACTTCTCGAAATAGGCATCGTCAGGTACAGTCAGGTTCAAGGAGTCGATGATATGTGTC